AGTTGCATTGATGACATCACGATTGACTTATAATAAGTATTATGTGACAAATCTTGCCCATGAGCGAATCTTAGGTATTTGAAAGATTTAAAGGAATATTACCATGGCAACAATCAGCACATACCTTGCTACAACGAACAGTATTGCTCCCGGCCACCCTCTCACAGTCCTCTCGTGTCCCATGAGGGCAGAATTCTTGTACTGTGCCTGTAGAGAGTAAAAAAGAGCAAATTTAAAATTTATCGGGCTAACGACTATTTGCTAGATAGAGTTTTGGCATAAATAATTCATAATGGTTGATTTAATTAAAAATCTGGTTACAATGTTTCTGTTGCGATCACCACCCTCTGACTTGCAACTGTAGTGTGGAAATTTCCATACACCTTTGCCAATTACAGTAAAGTCAACAAGTCAATAAATTTATTCAATTTAAGAACTCTATTATTGATTACATTGACTGTTGTATTTAAAGATTATAAATGAAACTCACCGCTTGCAGATTTAAACTTTTCTGCCAGGGATTGCTCTTTGGCAGTTGGCATATTAAGTAGGTCAAAGATTTCCTTCCCAACTTCATTGCTCTGAATACAAAAAAACACACATAGCTTGTTTACTACTAGAATACATTACATGAATATTAAAAAATAATCTAAATGTGTTTAACATGTAGCTCTATTTGTTAAACATTCAATGGATATATCATAGGTTTTCAAATATAATTTGCTGCCCTCTACATGATGCTGTTCAAAATGTTAAGAATTTGTTACAGATTCCCTTCTTAGCGATTCATCACCCCTGAATACTTTCAAGTACTGTTCACTTTAATGCCTTGGAAAATCATCTTTGTTACTACATGATGTGTTGCACCAAACATTTCGATTATGGTTATACACAGCTACACATGCATTTTGTAAGTAATTTCGCTATAAAAAAACTCTTCACTGAACTCTGACCTTTTGCTCTTTGAATGACTTGACTGACAATAAGTTCTTGATGAAGCTTTCATCATCCTGTTCAGGTGCATGCTCACAAGCGACCTTTCCGCTGTCTTTTTCACTATCTTTTTCATCCCTGAAAAGATAAGGTTGTTTTTCAAGTTAAAAATGGGTTTTCCACATATTCCTTTGTCCAAACATCAAAATGTGAAAAAGGTTTTCCACATATCCCTTTGTCCAAACATCAAAATGTGAAAAAGGCATAACTGAACTTAGTTGGTTCACGAGATCAGGATTCTGGGAGTGATCGTACAATCCAATCTTGGCTGGCAGTCCCACGTTAATAATATTATATCAAAATGTAGTCAGAGGATATTTATGCTATCTCGCCTCAAACGTTTTGGACTCCCAATTGAAGACTTAGTTTCCGTATATACTGGTTATGTTCGCCCAATTAGTGAGTATGCAGCTCCGGTGTGGCATGGTAGCATTACAAAAGATCAGTCATATCAAATTAAACGTATCCAAAAGAGAGCATGCCGGATTATTATTGGTGCGGATTATGTATCATATACGAAAACACTTCAGCAATTGGGACTCCAAACGATGGCCAATAGACGACTCCATCTTTGTGTTCAATTTGGACTGAAATGTTTAAAATCTCAGAGATACGCAAATTGGTTCCCAATAAATAAAAGTAACCATAATATGACCCTACGAAACTGTAATACATATCAAATCCAAAAATATAAAACTAATAGATATGGGAACAGTGCAATTCCTTTTCTCATCCACTGCCTCAACGAGAGATGCTGAGAATTAAATTGCTAGAAAATATGCGTTAAATTGATATTGCCTATATAACATTGGCAAATGTTTTATTTTTATTGAGGCTGGTCCATATTTTATATTTATAAACATGATGCCTATTTTATATACTTTGTATTTGAATATGTCTTAATTTTAAATAATTATTTTACTAACCTGTATATAATCAGTATCTATATTGTCTAGTTGTGTTAAAGTAACGTTTGTAATTAACTGTTTAAAGTAACGTTTATATTGTAAATTTTACATTTTGTTACACCATGTAATTCAGCTTATATGCTGAATTGGTTAGTTGAAATAAAAGATAAAAGATAAAAGATAAAGATCTATAAAAAAAAAAGCATAACTGACATTTTGTGATATATTTAACAAAAATGTGCATTTGCTAAAACTCTAAATTGTCAGTAATTAAGTTCAGTATGAACACATTATAAATAATGTACTTAAGTACTCTGTCTTTTGTCATTGACTTGTTATAAAGTAAAATTGAAAATACTTGCATATCAATTTTAATCCATGGGAATATTATGGTATGTACAGCACAATTTCCAAAAAACATTCAAATGACATAAAGAATAAAGAAAATATTATTACAAAAATGCTGACCTTTCATGGGGTCTTTTCCTTGATCCTGTCTTATTTTGTTCATCTTTCTCTTGACTTGTCATTGCCTTTATCTAAGGAAATTTTAGAAACAATATTATTAGCTTCAAATCAGACTTGCCTGTTGAATAATGATCAAAATATATACTAAATGTAGATTCTTAATTTACCTTGCCATGTTCAACAGATGTGACTAAAAGTTGTGGAGATCCATCCGTTTTGTGACTTTCT